ATTTCCTCCTTACACTTTTCTCCTATTTCAAACTTCTATTTTGCCATTCAGAAGCCTGACTCGCCAAATGACTTTTCTGTTGATGTCTCTGTCCCTCGCACAGAGAGCGAGGGTGCCTCTCACCTCCTGAGTTCTTCATCAGAATGGGTGGCTGTCCTCTCAGCGTCTGCCGCTTGTCTCTTCTAGCCATCCGCACACACCTTCCCAGGTGAATGAAGAGTGAAAGGAGCCATGCCATGCTATCTGTAACGTAGGGCTTACGTGATGGGTGGCTATGGCTTTATTCCTTAGCTTCTGGTACAAAAAGAAAATGAAAATACAGAAATGATAATCTCCCATTCTGTCTGTTTGTTTCTTCATTATACCATTAATCTCCACAAACAAGACATGTTTTCAGTTACAGATCGGTTAGAAAAAAAAATGCATATGCTAAACCAGATGGGTGAAATTAACAGTTTCATTAAACTGCCTTTAATATCGACAAAGGCACTGTGGCTTTGATTTTAGACAATAGTTACAATTCGAACTTTAACAAATGTGTGAAATGAGTAATTTTACCTTAGCATTATTATTTTTATTAAATTCACTAGTGCAGAAAATTGTTTAGAATCTTGGACAGAGAAAATACCAATTGGTGATATTTTTCTGGGAGGGAGTTAAGAATTCTAATATAAAAAAGAAATGAGCAAGCCTTTTTAGTCTGCAGAGCATTTTGGGCCCAGAATCGAGCCTGGAGGATTCCAGGTTTGTTCCATCTTTTCCGGCAGCCTCAGCTACCTTGATGCTCCTGATAATGATTTCTGGGGTTCTGTGCCAGGGGTCAGCGGGGCAGGTGTTTCATTTAGAGTTTCATTTCTTTTGGAGCCCTTCCCTCCTCTGAGCCCACAAAGCTGGTGTCCCTGTGTACTCAGGCAAAACCCATCATCTTAGTTAGGAATTTGGCAGGGAGGTGAGGCCAGAATCAATTGTCAACCATAATAAGGATGCCGCTTTGCCGGGAATGTGCACACAGGGGTATCTGAAATGAGCACATGTTTAAAACCAAATACATGAGGGAGCAGCAGTAGGATCTATGTTTATTTTCAGTGTCTCTGTACTATCATGCTTACTGAATCCATGGAGCACGTTCTCATCAGGGGAATGGCCTAGTAGTGTGGCGTGTTTCCCTCAGCAGACAAAGGGAAACCCCAACAAGATGAGATTCCCAGCGTCCTGGTGGAAAAGGTTGTTGTTATAGAGGCATAACCCATCAGGAAAACAGAGAAAAGTGTCCAGGGCTGCCCATCGCTTTAATGTTGGTTGTGGAAATCACAAGACGAAACCTAAGGGTATAAGAATAGAGAACTTGGTTCAGCTGTAAAATGCAGTATGGTTGGCCTGTAAGCTCAGCCACAGCACACTACCGATGGTGGATCAAAGGTACTTAGAACAGCCGGCCGAGGGTGGAGCTGTAGTCCTCAATGCTTGGTGTGTGAGGGTCCTCAGGTCAATCCCCAGCACTGACAAAAACAAAACAAAACCCACAAAACTGAGTAATGGACACATTACAGACATATTTTCTTACTATTAGTCCTTATAGTTCAGTGTAACAGCCACTTCCACAGCAGTTCCAATGTGCTGGACACAAGGAATCTAGAGATGATTTAGGCTCAAGGGTGTGGCTAGCCGATTCACAGTGTAACAGGACATTGTCATCATTGTCATCTTGAATGTTCATGCTCTAGAACCACACAGTTGAGTTGAAATAAAAACAAAACAAAACAAAAACCACAAGCAAATGTTTCAAGTTAGTTTAGCTTTTGAGTTGGGCTGAGTTCATAGCTGTTCTTGGCCACATGTGGCCACAAGCTGTGGGCGGGACACACCTGACAGAGTATGCAGGAGGGGACACACAGGAGGGTGTACGGTGGTTACACGCAAACACTCTGCCACGATGTACACGGGATGTGGACGACTGAGAATTTAAGGAACTGGGGAGAATCCTGGAAGTGGTGTCCCAATTACTATCATTCATTCATTCATTCATTCATTCATTCATTCATTCTTTTGTTCGTTGTTGGGAGGATGTATGTGTGTGCATGTAAGTGTGTGTGAAGGCCTGAGGTCAACATTGGTGCCTTTGCTCAATCAGGTTCTACCTTTGTTGTTGTTGTTGTTGTTGTTTTTTTTTTTTTTTTTTAGACAGGACTCTCCTTAAAACTAAAGCTGGTGCATTAGGTTCTGCTAGCTGGCCAAGGAGCTTCAGGGATCAACCTGCCTTATTCGCCCTGAGCCTGGGTTACAGGCATATGTCATAACATTCAGCTTCTGATGTGTGTTTTGGGGATCTGAATTCAGGGCCTCGTGCTTGTACAGGCACCTTACCAACTGTGATATCACCCTGCTCTTCCTCTGCGTTACTGAGGCATTAAACAGAACGATCTTCTGACACCCACAGAGAACTATTAATGACAAATAGTTAATTTAAAAGAGGAAGTTGGGCTGGTGAGATGGCTCAGTGAGCAAGGGGCTTATCACAGAGCCTGGAGGCTTGAGCGTGATCTCAGGGATGCAGATAGGGGAAGGAAGAAGGAGCTGACTCCCCCAGATTGTCCTCCGACCTCCACATGCATGCTTCCGCATGCACGCACCACCGCATACACACACACAAATAAATAAGTAAAACTTAATAAAAATTTAAAACATGTAATCAGAACCTATAGTGGCACAGTATGCCACTGGGAGAAAAGTGTATATATGTTAACAAATGCATACACGAATTGTTGTGCATGCAAAGGAGAAGTCTCCAGGCATAGGTACCAAGTTTTTTCACAGCTTTTTTTTCTTCACTAAAGACAGAGTGGGGGAGTGAAGACTTCTGTTTTATTTAATACCATTTGCATTGTTTGATTTGTCTTACAAAAACAAATACTTATGTTTCTTGCATAATAGTTACAGCTTTCAAGAGAAAGGCAAGCAAGCAAATAAACGAACACGGAGAATATGGAAAAGGCACGCTGTTGTTCAAGGCAGTAGGATGGCTTTTTCAGCTGCTGTGGTTCTGGGTGTTTGGGGTCTGCAGAGCCCACACAGATGCAGCTGGAGCAGAGAGTCGGTCCACCTTTCAGAAGTCTTTGGGCGAAGATTCTATCTGCCTTTTGGGGTTTCACAGGGACCACCAGCAGCTTGTAAACAAATGTATCAGCTCTCATGATTCCAGTTCTGGATCTGTGTATGTGTGTGTGCGCATGTGCGTGTGTGTGTGTGTCTGTGTCTGTGTCTGTGTGTGTGTGTGTGTGCGTACGTGCGTGCGTGTGTGTGTGTGTGTGTGTGTGTGTGTGTGTGTGTGTGTACTTTCGAACCTCTCTGTGCAGATGCGTACACGCTGTGTGTGTGTGTCTGTGTGTGGAGACTGGTGGGCATTCCAGATGCAGACATCATACCCTTGTTTGTTGAGACAGGGTTTTCTTGAATTGGCCTGAGGCTCACCAATTCCACTTGGCTAGCTGGCTACCAAGCTCTGGGCATCTCCTGGCCTTGCCTACCCAGTCCGAGTGTTAGAAGCAAATGCCTCTCTACCTGGCTTTTTATGTGGTTGCCAGGGATTAAACTCAGGTATCTATGCCTTTGTGGCAAGTACTTTACCAACTAAGCCCCCCCCCCATGCAACTTTTGTTTTTAAAATGAAGCACTGCAAAGAAATTAGTCTTCACTAAACCTAAGCCACACCTCTCATTCCTGGCAAAAACTTCTCTGCTCGTTCCTTACTGCTGTGTTAAGCAAAATGATCTATCCTTTGCCTCCTGGACATTTTTTTTTTAAGTTACTTTTAAAAAATTACAATGAAGAGAATAAAAATGTTGGAAGTCCCACTTTTTAGGCAGGTGAAACTTTAGTCAAGGCTGACATTTAATTTAACATTCAAGCTGGTGTTGTTTACATGTAACTTGGGTCCTATGTTTCCTGCAAATAACATCTTCCATCCTGTGTGATTGTTTGTAGCATGGCACCTACAATAGTGTCTTGCCTGTCCTAGAAGCATTTCTTGGCTTCATTAATAAATAAAAGAGAGGGCTAGCAAAGACAGGCTTTGGAAGATTCTAACAGTCGCCCTGTGAAGCCATCACACTTGCTCTCTTGCCTTAGACATTGATCAGCATATAGATTTATGAGAGGTCTTGTAAGAGAAAGCACCACGCGTATTACAGCAACATCAGACAAGCCCCTATCGGTGGTAGGAGGGCCCTGGTGAACATAGCTGCTCGCCTGTCCACAAGGGGGTGAGAGTGAACTCTGGCTTGTGTGACCTGCCTAGAAGGGTTCAAAGGTTGGCCCAGCCCTTTGCCAGCCTTTGTAACTGTAGACAAGTTATTTTGCTTCTTCAGGCCTTAGTCCCCTGCTGTGAAGAAGGAGGGGGAAGCTAATAATAGTATCAACCATCTCAGCTAGTGCCTATCTGATGGCCTCATTTGCGTTGGATACTTGACCCTGTGTTTGGCGTCTTGTAAGCCTTCCATAAGAGTTGACTCATTCTTTTCATTATATGGAGAGACCCACAAGCAAAACTGGAATCAAAAGATGATGAGGAAGCATCTCAAAATAAAATGCTCTTGCTCAAATTTTGGTAGCAGAACCAAGGAACTATTTCTGGGATAAAACACATTCTTCTTCCGCCTCTCCGAAGAAGAGTCTCTCTGGAAGTTTCAGCAGCCCTGATTGGGCAGTGAATTACACTGAGTGAATCACTCTCTTGAGGCACCCTCTCAGCTATGAGAGGCACATCCTTTTCCCTGGGATTCGAGGCTGTCATTTAGTGCCAGAGGAAAAGCTTTTTACAGACTGACACCATAGCTTCCCCCAAAGGGTTTAATTTTCTTCCCCAGAGGGTGGTATATTTCAAGAAACGGCAGGGCCCACCTTGTCAATAACAAAGGTATTTAATTGGCTTGCCTTCCTTCTTCTCCAGCCACATCAGCCCCGTGGTAATTAATTCTGAGTGCTTCGAATTGTGTTATTTACAGTGCCATGGAACCAAAATGACTCCGTATTAGAAATCGGTGCAAGGATATTCGAGAGAGCTGTAAAGAGACTCTCCGGCATTGATGGCCTCCACCAAATTAGCTCTGCCATCCCCTTCCTGATGGATTCCAGCTGCTGTGGATACCATAAAGCATCCTACTACCTCACAGTCTTCTATGAAACTGGATTGAATGGCGCTCGGGATCAGCTGCAGGTGCCGTATTTCACGGGCTTGGGAGCACCTGTCACCTGGGCTATGTGTGCAGAGAGACACCCCTCCTGGCCCTGGATGTGTTGCAGGTCCTTGGAGTCCCCTAAAATCTTTACACCCGGGGGGAAAATGTTCTCAGGCTTTGGGACTACACAATAACCTGCTTTTAGGGAAGGAAAAAGTCACTTCTCCATTTCTCCTCATGGCTTTCATGTTTTGGTAAACCATCCAAGGGACATTTTGAGCAGGGCATGCTGGAATCCCATCCTTCAAAATCAGGGACCTCTTCCGTGAACAGTGCAATGGTCTTCACGGTGAGGCCATCACCTCACGTTACTTTTTAGCTAATAAAAAGCTGTGGAGCTCTTGTTGCCATATCCACCTCTTTTGCTATCAAAATAAATGCCAAAGTAGACAGTTTTACTTAGGGTCTTGAATCTGAATTGATTATGCAACGTGCCTAACATTTAGAGTCACATTTTCCTCAGTGTATTAGTCAGGGTTCTCCAGAAAAACAGAACCAATGGGATTATATATAGGAAGAGATTTATTCTCAAGAATCAGCTCATGCAATTATGGAGTCTGAGAAGTTCCCTGCTCTGCCATCTGCAAGTGGGAGGCCAGGAAAGCTGCTGCCGGTGGGTTTCTAGTCAAAGCCAGAAAGGACTGATGGCCAGGGGAGCTGGTAGTGGAAATTCTACTCCTCAGGCAGGAAAAGACCGGGGTCCCAGCTCAGGCAGGCAGGAAGAAGCCAAAAGGGATGAATTCTCCTTCCTTTGCCTTTGGCTCTCCTTAGGCTCTCTATGGGATGCCGCTCCCCCCACCCTGGGTTGGACCATCTGTTTTACTCAGCCTCCCAATTCCAGGCCTCATTGGAAACAGCCTAGCAGCCTCCCCGAGAAATGATGCTGGTCCCCTGCCAGCACAGTCACGTTGACAGACACCGCTATCACAAGAAAACAGTACACGTTCTCTGATCACTTTTAATTTCTGATCTCTGTGTGTGGATGCTTGCCTTTGTGTGTGTGGTTTTTGGTTTAGTCTTTTTTTTTTTTTTTAGAGATATATTAACATTTCTAGAATGGCTGGGATTACAGAGAGGGAGTACATGACCTTTCAGCTTTTGGGGATTTCATAACCTTATCCACAGTCTTGTGAATGTTTTATCAACTATCAGTTTCTTCCTAACAGGGCATGCTATATAGTCTGGTTGGAGGCCAGGGCAGCGAGAGGCTGTCATCAATGAATCTCGGATACAAGCACTACCAGGGTGTCGACAGTTACCCACTGGACTGGGAGCTCTCCTACGCCTACTACAGCAACATTGCTGCGAAGACGCCCCTCGACCAGCACACACTTCGGGGAGACCAGGTAGAGGGGGGTGTCTGGGGTGCTGACAGCCTGGCTCTCAGGGCCTCCGAGCAATGCGATGCTGCCTGCCCCCGCATCTAGGTTATGTGGCAGCTCTCCGTTGCTGTGCGTTGTCTGACAGAGAGGAAGGCTTTATCGCCCTGTCTTCTGCTCCCATTTCCTGCATTTGTGCAGGTTCCCAGGCTGACCGCAGGCATGCGCCTGCATCCATGAGCTGTCCATGAGTGGCCAAACTGGTATGTGAAGGGGAGATTGGCACCTGAGGCAGGTTTTGGCCTTGGAAAAAAAAAGAAATCATACCAGAAACAAAAATATTTTGTCCATATGAGAGGGCGAGATCTAGAGATGTTAGAAGGGAAGGAATCAGATTGAGAGGAGGCGTTAATCTGCCGGCACCCTATCCGTCCGTACACACTGAACAAGCGGGTTTACCACACATGGAAGCCAGCTTTATCTCCAGCCAGGTTCCCAGGGCTGCATGCCTGAGAAAGGTCTCCTTCGAATGGGCCCTTCTACTCACTGCTCCCAGGCGGTGGATGCTTAAAGATGGCACCTTGGCACATTAAGGGCTAGACGAGGTGACTAGCAAGAGCCCCTACTTCTTGCATTCTTCCCAATCTTGCTGACTCACTGGACAAAGAAATCAGTGGCTCACATCTGTCAAAAAAGCAGGGGTGTTAGATTAGGCTCACTGATGGCTTGCTTCCGGACTTCTTTCGGGGATGAGAATAAAAGGCTGCCAGCAAAGGTATCTGGGTAAGAAGAGCAGGAATGGCTTCTTGAAGGCATGGACCTACCTACACATGTAGGAGGAGACAGTGGGCTGGTTGACTTCAGGGTCACAGAGGAGTGTGAGATGGTTCATGTTGATAATACAACTAGTTTGCTTTGAGGGTTGAAAGGGCGTTCTCCCCCCCCCCCTTTTTTTTTCACCTGCTGATCTCTGCCAGGGAAATGTGGAAATAAATGGGGCATTTGGGTCTGTGTAGCCACAGACAGTATGATACTCAGTGGCAGGATTTGTCTGTGATCTCTGCCATGAACTTTGCTTTTCCCTGCCTGCTGGGCAGGTGTGCCTGTGGGACGGACCTGGCTACACTTGAATCTCAAGTGACTAACTGGGACCCAAACAGCCCTAGGATTGAGTCAGAAACCAACCCACAGTGCAGAAAAGTGGTGTTTGATACATGGAAATAGATGGTTTCTAAAAATTAAATTAAATTAAAAAAAATCTACAGTGGCCACTTTACTGCTGTGAAATAAACCGCTCAGCGAGATAAACCTTCAGTGAATGGCCTAAGGATGTGATCAGCTGGCAGGTCACTTGTCTAGCATGCACAAGGTCCAATCCCCTGCATAAAATCAGGTATAGTGGCAGATGCCTGTAATCTCAACACACCAGAGGAGCAGACAGGAGGATCAGGAATTCAAGATCAGCCTTGGCTACATAGCAAGTTCAAGGCCAGTTTGGGATTTGTGAGATTCTGTCCCAAGAAGGAGGGTGAAGGAGGAGGAGATGAGGAAGAGGTTAGGAAGAGAGGGAGGAGGAGGAGAAGGAGGAAGAGCAGGAGGAGGACAAGAACAGAAGCCATTACAAAATGTCTTTCTCTATAGAGACATTCTTATTCCTTTAGATGTTATCAGTCTTTTTTTTTCTTCCTTCAAATAAAGTTGTAACACACTTGTCACTTATAGCTGATTATTCTCTCTGTGTATATCAATGACTTGCAAAATTTGACCTCGGTTAGGCAGCAATTAATTAATCCATCTTTTTGTTTAAAAAAAAAAAACTATTGCTATGCAAAAAACCACATTTTTACAAAATCAAGTTGTAAAATAAAGCTGCCTTTACCTTTCTACCAAGCCCAAACATGTTCATAACATCGTGCATGTACAGATCACACATTTAAGAATTCAAATTCGCCATCAATTAGCAATGGAAAGCATTATGTCGCTGACAAGCTCCTTTTCTTTTGAAGATTTGGCATGTGAAATGTTATGATTGTGAACGAAAGTGTTTAATTGGTCAGAAGCAGAGGAGATGAACGGAAAGGATGTGTCTCCCAGCTGAAAGGCCGTATGATTAGGCATCGTGGGTAGGAATTACGCACTTAGAGGAGTTGTGTCATCGCTCATTTTCTTAAGAATTCCTAATTAATGGCTTCTTGAGGATTGAAGCAGGTGTCATGCGTTCAGTTAAATGTCCTTTTGTTGAGGTATCTATTAATTCACCAGCATAATGTAGCAAATGAGGAGCTCTCAAAGCCAGATCTCTAATTAACAAACGAAGGATCTGTCAATAACGCCTTTCTTCATTCTCGTTGCTTCTGTGATTCACATCATTTTGTCTCCTTTATCAGGAGTCTCACTATGCTCCCCACTCGTGAATGAGCAGGACTTTGCTGCAGGTAAACCTGGAAGGACAGCTAGCTTTCCCTCTGTTCTGTGTCTTAAATTGCAAATGAGCTCTTTTCCTTCAGCCCAGTTCTTAGATTCTTAGATCTCTCTCTCTCTCTCTCTCTCTCTCTCTCTCTGTCTCACTCTGTCTCTCTTTCTTTCGCTCTCTCTCTCTCTCTTGACTTGGTCACGGATCTCCTTTTTTTCTGAGGCTTCTAGGGGGAATGGAGGGCTTCAGTCACATCCCTGGCCACACTGTCTTCGCATATTGATAGTGCCCAATTTGTATCTCCACCTAACAACTTTCTTACTTTTCATCTATGTCCCAAAAGAAGCTTACCATAGGTAGCTCCCTTCCTCTGCTGCTCACACCTCCCCAGAGGACATCAATGGTTACACTAGGAAATGGGGGAGCTTGACCCCCTTATCCTACCTAATGACCACCCCCGTTCCTCTCTTCCCCATCTTCGCTGCCATTCCTGCCTGCTGTCCTTCATCATCTGTCCCCTGAGCTACTGCAACAACACCTCTTAGGGGCAGGATTGTGTTTCCTCTAACTCCAGTGTTGACGTCCCAACCCCCAATGGTCACACAGACAGAAAGTAATATATGTGTGTATATAGCTGAGTGTGTGTCTGAGAGGCCACACTTTCAGATGTAACAGCAGAGATTGAAAACATTCCAAAAAGACAAGGTGTCTGCCCTCAGTTTGTATTGACTTTTTCTCCTCACTATTCCCTAAGAAACACAGCATAGTAACCATCTTATGTCTACATTGTATTATTAAAAGTACTCTAGCTACGATTTAGAACATGGAGGAGGGGCTGGGATTGTGGGACAGCGGTCAAATGCGTTTGAAACATGCTGGAGGCTCTGGGCTCACAGTTACCATATTACTTTAGGTAAGAGACAAGATTCGAGGATTTCATTGCTTGTGGGGGTCCTGGAACCAGTCCCTGTGAGATACTGAGCTGTGTGTGTGTGTGTGTGTGTGTGTGTGTGTGTGTGTG